GAATAAGAACCTGCCAACTGAAACATCAAATTGAAAAGGTGATGACCCACTTTGTGACACTCCTGAGTTGTTACGAAGCAGGAATGCTTTTTTCTACTGAATACTAGCAGACTCTATAGTAAGTAAGTAAACAAGTTACAATAAAAATCAGTTCTTCAATTTACATATTTACTTACTTTAAAAAGACATGCAAATGTCATTTTAATGCACATCTCCTTCTAAAGGGATGCAGACACTGCAGCTTTTCCCATTACAACACCGAGATTGCACAGGTGGTTATAATCCAGATATATCAGTCTGAGAAATAGCATGATAAAATAAACAACACATTGTTGTGAATATAAAAATGTGCCTAGTTCCTTTCAAAGAAAGTAGTCCACCACAAGGGGAGTTGTTTTGATCAAAAAAACTGGAGTTACACTTCTGTGGGTTCACAAGGTTTGCCCAAAAAAAATTATTTTAAAGAACTGTACCTTTGGCATACCTCATATTGTATGTCCTGTTTTTCCTACTCCACCATGGACTCTGTTCTAAAATCACTGGGACAGGATTACAGATATCAACACCTGTGTAGATGAAGTCAGCAAACAGTGCTTGCATGCTTCATGACAAATAGGTTTTAACAATATTATTGTTCTTTAATGTACAGATGAAAGGATGTCCTTTTGATCAGATCTACACATTGGTTAATATGCATTGCTGCACCAGATTCTGTGTTTTTGTAAATCTCACCAATCAGATTCTAACTTCAGCTTGTTAAATTAAGCTTTGATAATCAAACCTAGAAGCTGATTGGTTACTATGTGAAGCTGCACCAGATTACTTTTAGGCAATCACTGGGAAGCCTATCCTGCCCGCAGCTAATAATGGAATCTTCTACTCTTCCAACCAGTCCATCCCCCACAGTTACTACCTTTTGTACCACTAGCACCTCCCTCCTAGATTGTAAGCTCCAAGGAGCAGGGCCCTCCTATCCTTCTTGTATTGAACTCTATTGTTGCAGTATTGTCTCCCGTTATATTGTAAAGCGCTGAGCAAACTGTTGGCGCTATATAAATCCTGTATAATAATATAATAATTATGTAAGACTCCTCCATAATGTCAGTTGAAGCAACCTCAGCAATTCCCTATTAATTCTAATCAATTGTACAACAATAAGTCGCAACTCTTGAAATACATACTTGTACACCAACATCCCACTTGTTGTTATAAACATATCTAATAATTCCAAAGAGATCAGATTTGTTAATGTGACTTTAAGGTGGCAATATGTATCTACAATGCAAACAGCATTTTAAAATAATTATCATTGCTATTGAATCTCCTAAAACTGATCTAATGATCCTTAAAATACAAGCCTCCTGAAAGCTTTTGATCCTATAGTATACAATATCCACATTACACAAACACATCAACTAATACATAGAGCTAATCCTTTACCACCTGCCCTGATCATCCCTACTCTTCAGCCTATTATTATTTTTGAAACAACTTACTGTAGTGTCATCCCATTACATCACTGTAATACTGATTGTTTTGAAACTAGAGATGATCAAATTAGAAAAAAGAAAAAAATAATAATGTATCTATTTATTGATTAATTTGAGGGTTTTTGAAGAGGGGTAGAATAGGGTGGGGGCTGGAAGTAGCAATGGGTATGGAAGGCACCTGAAGCTCAAGTCTGGTTCTTTTTGATAAAGCTCAGGTGGTCATTATTGCCTAAGAACAGGTAGATGGGTCTTTCAGTCAGCACCACTCCAACTAAGCTGAACACCCTTTCTGATAAGACATTTGCAACAGAGCAGGCCAGCACCCCTTGCAAATGTAATGCAAGCTCTGGCTACTGGTGTATCTTAGCAGCCCATAGGGTCTCTTTCTTTTTTTATCAGAGGATAGATGCATGAACTCCATCCTTCTGGTTCACTTCTTATCTCCTCCCCCTACCCAACTCTGAGCACCGCCTTCTAGTTTCACTCCCTACCCACCTTCCAGTAGACACCCTTTTATAGAATACACAATCAAGTAATTTGTATGAAATTTGATACTGATAACAAGAAAAGCAGTAAAATAGATCCGCTACAGCCAACAATAGACCCCCCAGCAACAATAGACCCCTGTCAGCAATAAGAGATGTCCTAGCAGCCAACATCAATAGGCCCTTCAGCAGCCAGCGACAATTTACCCCCTCACCGCAACAGTAGATCCTTCCCAACAACTGACCCCCTCAGCAACAATAGACACCTTCCTCAACAGTAGATCCCTCCCAGAAACAACTGCCCCCCACCAGAAACACTAGATCCCAGAGCAGCTAGCCTCAAAGGGCCATCCAGCACACTCTAGTACCCCTTGCCATTACATACATTCTGTGCTGGAGATGCTGGAACTGCGTTCCCCCACGTTCCCCTTGAAAAAATGCTCTGGTCTTTATTAACTTCTAAGGTTGTTGATATCTGAGCTGGAAGCAACATACTCGTTGGAGATCCATGCATATAAGTAATATCTGAAGCCAGGTCTGCCCACCTACTGCTGACTGAAAAAAAAAGCACGTAATGCCTCTGTTAGACATCACCTGCTGGTGGTGGTTCTATTGCTGCTGTCTGCTGGTCTGACTTCAGTATCGGAACTATGACAGCAGGTAGTAGAGGTTTCCCTGCCACCATTGGGAAAGACTCTGTGCTAGATGCACCCTCTCATATTGACAAAATCAGTCTTGCCTTTCATGTGGTAGGACACAATCAGACATTTTGGTCTTGCAGTGTATGTGGGAGGTGAGACGTGTTAGAAGGCCTTTGCCAGGGAAAATGACACAGGCTGTTCAGATGAAAGATAGAAGGCCCTTGAAATTGTCTCCAAAACACAAATTGAAAGGTTTAAAATGTAAAAATTAAAAAATGTATCTCTTTTACTTTGTTCATTCATTTATTGATGCTTTAATATATCGATTTATTATTCTAATTGGTGAAATAAACCAGAGGTGAGTGCTACCTGGGGCCAAGCCTATCCACTGTGGTTTGACTGCTGCAGAAGTCCAGAGCATTATGAGATATCCCACTAAATTTACCACAAAACATTGCAGTAGTTTGGTTCAAACATTCCCAAATCAAATGCATGATATTAGGGAGGAATTTCACTTTTATCCGAACACAAGCAGCAACACTAATAGCTATACTAGAACAGTTTTGGTAAAATGAATGGACGGAAATAATTGTATTCCAAGTGCTCCAACATTCATTAACTGCAGCTTCAAACAAACAATCTGTGCAGCCAATGTAAGCACTTATTTCACACAGTAGAAGCCCTTCACATATCCAGCCACAAATGTATTTGTTTATCATTTACATTTTCTATTATCAAACAATATGGTCAAGTGCTGTGGCTAGATAATAGACTTTACTGCAGGTATTACGGATTGTATGTACAGTATGTGTCAAAACTACAAGAGTTAAACACTCTCCTCCTTTCAGTGTACATTGAGGTATACAGTTGAGGCTTTATAGATTCTTAAATTGTCAAATAAAAAGCAATATGTTTAACCATTGTATGCTGCTCGGGAGGAGGGCTATGTATGTAATGTAATAGGGAAAGTGTTGTGTTAATATTAACAGTGAGCTGTATCTTCTGAATTCCCCCATATGTGCATTTGCCATGCATGAGCGCTATTCAATGCACATTTCCCTGCTCTCAGATTTACAGCCCACACAGATTTTGACAGCACTGCTGGAATATTCATGACTATATCAGTAATCTAGTTTATACAAGAAGGAACAAAACTTTATCTGGAATAAAGTTATGAAAAGCTTGGCAGGTTTTTTCTCTTTTAAGCAGAATGACAGGAAGTCATTTCTTTTGCAATGCAGTGACTGGATTTCTAAATCACATCTAAAAAGCATGTGATGTCTGTGTGTATCTATTCTTGCATTACATAAAATACACAGGTTGCCCCACTAAAGCTGAAAGAAGGATGCTGCATAAACAGCTGATAACAAATACCGATTTGTGATTACAATGCTTGCAGTTTCTTGTATACACAATTTCTATAGTTGATCATAGAACACCTTACCAGTAGTAATGTAGGGTCACTGGTACCCATTATAGCATCAGATTTAAAATAAGTCCAGTAAAAGCTTTTCTCTGGAGCAGGCGTTGACCGAACACCTGCAGTTACCTTGTAGCTCTATTGATGATCCATTCAGAAGGGTCTGTGAGTCGCAAGCCTAAATATCTGCATGCAAAGAAGAATCATGCAAACTGAAAGGCCAGGCAATCATGACTTATCAAGTTCTCCAAAGACTCCAAAGTCTCCAAAACAGCAACCACAAATAAAATTTCAAACTGATCTGTATTACTATGTCTGTGGGATAGAAAGGGAATTTTCCTATAACAGTCTAAGAGAGCTATTCAGGCACACTTGCCATAGATCATGCAAGGCAGAACATCTGCTTGATGGGACTTTAGAGCAGCTCCTAATAGGACCAGTAGTATAAAGGAAGATGTACACATAACATTCCCCATATCCTCTGCTTTTATATATTTTACTTGAGTACTATATTTTTTTTTAAACACACCATAAATATTGAACAGGATAATTGCATCATCATTGCTCTCTGAAGCATTGACATAGGATCCTTCAATGTTTGACTTCTAATGTACTGATGTAGGATTTTTACACGAGTGCTCTCTCTCCAAACTACTGATATAGGTTGGATTCTTAAACAAGAGCGTTTGTCCTCCAAAGAACTGATGTAGGATTTTTAGGATGCTTGCAATGTTTGCCCTCCAAAGTCCTGATTAGAGATGAGCGAATTATTCAAAAATTCGATTCGGCTGATTCGCCGAATTCGCGGAATAAATTCGATTCGAGGCGAATATATTCGCTGCGAATTTAACTTATAAAAAGGGTGTTTCTAGGCTTCAGAGAGCCTTTATATTAGTGCAGAACACTGTACCTTTAATTTAAATGCCCTTGGAGTCTGCTGGGGAAGAGAACTAATACTGTCAGTCAGTATGACATGCAGATGAGTGCCGTCGATCTTAGAATCACCGCACACTTCACTCATTTGGGCAGTCACGGGGCCAAAACCAGAGTGTGGAGCCACAGTGTGGCGGTGGAGGCAGCAGCAATGGGAGGCCATACAGCACCCTATGACAAAATGGAACCCACCAGCAGTGTGAGGAGACCTGAAAGTGGCACATGGCAGAGTGTGGCGATGAAGACAGCAGCAATGGGAGGCCGTACAGGGACCCATGACACACTCTGGACCTGGCAGCAGCATGAGGAGGCGGTACAGGGGCCCATGACAGATTACGGGCCTGGCAGCAGCAGGCGGTGGATGCAGCAGTGGGCGGGCGGTGGATGCAGCAGTATTCGGAAGCCAAACACAGGCCTTGGTTAAAAAGCGGAAGCCGTCAGCAGCGTGAGCAGACGACAGAGGCACATGGCGCAGGGTGGCGGTGGAGGCAGCAGTATTCGGAAGCCATACACAGGCCTAGGTTAAAAAGCGGAAGCCGTCAGCAGCGTGAGCAGATGACAGAGACACATGGCGCAGGGTGGCGGTGGATGCAGCAGTATTCGGAAGCCAAACACAGGCCTCGGTTAAAAAGCGGAAGCCGTCAGCAGCGTGAGCAGACGACAGAGGCACATGGCGCAGCACCATTAACTTGGACAGGAGGACGTTCAGCTTCTGCACCATCGGGTGCGTGCTCGCAAACTGTTGTCTCTTGGAAACGGATTCCAAGAAAGACTGCTGACGGAATCCGTGAAGAGGAGTAGCAGGAGAAGGAGCATCTGAACGAGCGGAAGATGCCAACGAGCGACAACTCCCCTCAGCAGAGGTGTTGGAGCCTTGACTGGCTGATAGAGGGCGATTGACGTCGGGTGACGGAGCAAGTAACGGAGCGGGTGATGGAGCGGGGGCTGGGGCAGGCAGAACCGCCGTATCTTTATCACGGTTTTCCCAGGCCACCGAATGGCGACGCTGCATATGCTGACGCAACGCTGTAGTCCCAACATGGGCCCCCTGGCCACGCTTGACTTTCTGGCCACATAGTCGACATACAGCTACGTTTACTTCCTCGGGCGGCTTGACGAAAAATTGCCACACCGCCGAGTAGGAAATTTTGCCCCCGCTACTCCTCACTGGCTGACTGCTACTTCCTCCGTGCACACCGGCACCACTACTGGCCGTGGTGGTAGGCTGCAGTGGAGCTGGTGCTCTACTCCGTGGCCGTTTGTCTCCACTGACACTGCTGCGACCCTGCTGCCTCCTGGGCAACCCACCGACTGTTTTGCTCGCTGGCAAGCTGGCACCCTCTTCTCCTGATGATGCGGAAGCAATAGCCTGATGACGACGAGGCTGCCAAGTGCGATCAGCCTCATCATCATCAATTAGGGTCTCCGCGTCACTACTAGCCCCCTCGGCTGCGTGTGGGTCAGGAGACAGACCTGTCTCTAGACCGGCTACCGAGCCACTCTCCTCGCCAGTACTTCTTCGCCTGGCTGCTGAAGAGGCGGATGTCTCCCCCCCGTTCCTGACCGCCCTCTGTTAGCTCTTCCTCACTGTACAGTGGGGCTGAGCCCACAGCATGCGATACTTCGCTTGGTGAGGGAACACCAAAGGACAGGGGCAGGTAGAGGACATGTGATTTCAGTGGGCTTGCTCCCGGGCCATGCCAACTAACGGTTGTGTCTGACGTACCCACCGACCGTTGGCTGTAGGTGTCAGAGGTGACCTGGAAAGAGGAAGACGACCGAGTCAACCAACCGATGACGGCAGGGTTGTCGGTGGAGACACGACCGCTGGATGACACCGGGAGCACTGGCCTCTGGCTGCGACTAGTGCTGCCTCGACCCCTTCCTCTGCTGCCACGTCTGCTCGCTCCTGAAACATTGCCTCCTCTGCCACTCCTCTGCGTGTTGTCTGACATACTCTTTAATTCAATAAGCACCCCAAACATAAAACAGGATTTAACTCTTTGAACGTACAATAGTGGTTGTGAAGCAGAAAGTAACGATTCTGTGTCCCTGAGTAACAATTCTGTGTCCCCTGAGTAACGATTCTGTGTCCCTGAGTAACGATTCTGTGTCCCTGAGTAACGATTCTGTGTCCCTCAGATTCTGTGTCCCTGAGTAACAATTCTGTAACAATTCTGTGTCCCTGAGTAACGATTCTGTGTCCCTGAGTAACGATTCTGTGTCCCTGAGTAACATTCTGTGTCCCTGAGTAACAATTCTGTGTCCCTGAGTAACGATTCTGTGTCTGTCCCTGAGTAACGATTCTGTGTCCCTGAGTAACAATTCTGTGTCCCTGAGTAACGATTCTGTGTCCCTGAACGATTCTGTGTCCCTGAGTAACGATTCTGTGTCCCTCAGTAACGATTCTGTGTCCCTGAGTGTCTGTGTCCCTGAGTAACGATTCTGTGTCCCTGAGTAACGATTCTGTGTCCCTGAGTAACGATTCTGTGTCCCTGAGTAACAATTCTGTGTCCCTGAGTAACAATTCTGTGTCCCTGAGTAACGATTCTGTGTCCCCTGAGTAACGATTCTGTGTCCCTGAGTAACGATTCTGTGTCCCTGAGTAACGATTCTGTGTCCCTCAGTAACGATTCTGTGTCCCTGATAACAATTCTGTGTCCCTGAGTAACGATTCTGTGTCCCTGAGTAACGATTCTGTGTCCCTGAGTACAATTCTGTGTCCCTGAGTAACAATTCTGTGTCCCTGAGTAACAATTCCGTGTCCCTGAGTAACAATTCCGTGTCCCTGAGTAACGTTCTGTGGCCCTGAGTAACGATTCTGTGTCCCTGAGTAACAATTCTGTGTCCCTGAGTAACGATTTCTGTGTCTGTCCCTGAGTAACGATTCTGTGTCCCTGAGTAACAATTCTGTGTCCCTGAGTAACGATTCTGTGTCCCTGAGTAACAATTCTGTGTCCCTGAGTAACAATTCTGTGTCCCTCAGTAACGACTCTGTGTCCCTCAGTAACGATTCTGTGTCCCTGAGTAACAATTCTGTGTCCCTGAGTAACGATTCTGTGTCCCTGAGTAACAATTCTGTGTCCCTGAGTAACAATTCTGTGTCTGTCCCTGAGTAACGATTCTGTGTCCCTGAGTAACGATTCTGTGTCCCTGAGTAACGATTCTGTGTTCCTGAGTAACGATTCTGTGTCCCTGAGTAACGATTCTGTGTTGAGTAACGATTCTGTGTCCCTGAGTAACGATTCTGTGTCCCTGAGTAACGATTCTGTGTCCCTGAGTAACGATTCTGTGTCCCTGAGTAACAATTCTGTTAACTTGTCTGCGCACCTTCCCAGAGATCCCCGCTCCGTCGCCACACATGTCGCCGCCATTTTTGGGAAAATTTGATTCGTGCATCCGAAGTTTGCTAATTTTCGGATTCGGATTCGGCGCGAATCGAACTTTTCCTAATCTTCGAAACGAATTCCACTTCGCCATGTTCGATTCGCTCTTCTCTAGTCCTGATGTAAGACAGTACATGAGTGTTTGCCTTCCAAAGTACCGACGTAGGATTGTTGTACAAAGGTGATTGCCTTCCAAATACAGTTTCCAGGACTGAGATTGAGCTCTGCAGTCACTTTTGCAACAGTTGTTTTCATATTCTAGGTCATTATCTTGTGCAATGTCCTTCCTTTTGGCTCTTTTGGTCAGATGACTATGGCAATAGCGCTTATGCTTATCATATGTTTTCCCAGAACTGTATATGCTGTTATAACCCTTGATACTGTACCTCGCAACACTGCAAATAAATTGGGAACTTCACTCACAAAAGGCACTAATAATTTGCCCTCTTTGAAGCTCTGTAAGCTCTGATATGACTGTGTTACTAGCAGCACACGCAGTGAATGATGAAAGTGAGGTTTACCACTTGTTAGCTAGGTGTCTCATCACACAGCGGAAGAAAAAGAATGTTACATCACTTCTGCTTTCCACATGAAACATGTCATTACATTCACACCTGCAAATCATGTAATGTTTCACAGTTGTTCTGCACTCCTGTGACCCACTTTCAGCCAATAGCGGGTTAAAGCCCACTGTCGGCTGAAGTCACAGAGCTGGTGCAGGCTCTGACAAAATCCTCACCATATGGTTGGGATCCACCCAGAAGCCTGGATCAGCCCCTGGCTCACCTTGAAACAGCCCTTCCTGCCTCCTCCACAGCCTAGCTCTCCAGTGGATGCTGGAGAGGCAGAGCAGAAAGCCAGTGACTGACAGTCACGGCTCTCTGCTCAGAGCAGAGGGGAAGAACTGAGCGATTAGTTTGATGTGTGTTTGATCACTCAGTTACCAGTGCAGAGCCAGCGCGGAACAGATGCAGCATCAACCTAGGTGGGTATAAGGTTTTTTGTTTTTTTTTTTTAAAGCTCATATTTCTCTTTTAAATAGTTCATTTTTATAGAGGTCTGTACATCAAACTGAAAAGAGGGACAACTAAGCAGGAAAGAAGGACAAAACGTGATTTGAAGAGGCAGTTCCTCCATCCAAGGGACAGATGGGAATGATGCCAATAGGGAAAATCTCCTCAGGGGGGACACAGACAGCCATAAAATTCTGAAAGGATTTTGGACACTTCACACTTTGTCCAAAGTAAAAAAAAAAGCTTTAAATTCATTTTAACTGCTCAGAGATGTATTTTGTCATTTACCCAACAGAGAAAACAGCAGTGTGACAATCCAGAAGGAAGCCACATGTGGAATCAATAGCACTCAACCTGGTGCTTTATATCTTATGCAACTTAAGTCTCTGGCATTCAAATGAATTTGAGCAAAATAAATATCATGTTCAGCCACAGAACAGGAGCTGAGATTTGTTTAATGATGTCCGCACAGATGTTACTGATGCTGCAGCACACAGGATCAGCCAGTAAGATTGATGGCACTTCAGTTAGATATTGTAATATCTTCCAAATCTGTCTTAGTAAAAAGCTTATGTCTCTTCCCAGTGATCCGTCATCTTGTAAAATTTGCATACAGAAGTGTTGTCGTTTTAGAAAAATGACAAATGAGACCACTGGTGCTGTACATTTTTGGCAGTTTATGGGACTTTGGTTTTATTAGAAGCAGTAGCAATGACTTCGGCCTATGTCTATAGAATCTACCATGGAAAAACAGAATCTCCAAATTACTGAAGAATAAAAAGGCTGATGTATTGTAGCAGTCAAGAGTATAGGACACTGGAGATATGATCAGTGTTAGAGGGCGCAGTATAGATTATGGATGGCTATAATGAGGAATTGACATATCTAGAACAACATGGCATCTTTGTGGTTGCTAAGCTAAATCTTAGTTTAAGGATATTATAACACTTTTTTGTGATGCAGGAAATAAGGCCATACACTAAAGCACATTTAAAACCCTAACTGAATGGCATGTATATAGATATATATATATATATATATATACACACACACACACTATATATACTGTGTACTGTGCATAATTTTTAAATTTTTTTATCCTCTTTTGCATCGCATTGCTGCTGTTCCCTTCAGCCTCCTTGCTGCCATGTC